CACACACACACACACAGGAAGCCAGACAACATTGCAGACATGGATGCAAACGCAGTCATGCAGCAATCCTGCTCTCACTTAACTTGTGCTGCACTTTTGCTACATCAAGTATAGCCCTGTGTCAGATGTCAAACGTTGCAGAGAATAGTCACATAATTCAAGCAAACATATTTGTGCTATTGAATCACATACACGTCTGCAGAGATAATAAGGCAGATGCAAGATAGCTCTATGCTATGAGAGACGGGTATAAAGACAAATATGCATGCAATTTGTAAAAGTTACCGGCTATGTTGTCATTATTCTGTCGGCAAGAAGTGTTTTTTTCTTTTGATGCTGAAACATTTGAAGGAAGGGAACCAGTAGCACATCAAAAAACGTCTGGTATACAGCTGACGCGTCTCTCTTGGAAATATTTATGAGCTCAGTCTCGGCCTCGGAAATTTCATCATGCGGTCCTGATAATAAGTTTGGAAACATCTCACCAATACAAATTTTATGTGTAGAGATATCTATTGATTAGCTATGTCTAGTTTTATAGGCCCTGAAAACATTCCTAACTAGATTCTTTCTATGAGCGATGGCTGGTTTCATTCATTCATTCAGCCGGACATTTAAGCCAAATGTGGAGTGTGTTCTATTTTGTTTAACCTAAAATCATATCAGTAGCAACTTTAAACGTACGTGACATGAACAAATGAACGTATCTGAGTTGTGGACCGTGATTCACATCCAAGGCTGGAACCAGGCTAAATGTCTTATTTGTTTATCAAATCTGATCAAAACACACCCATACAGTCCTGATGGAGCAGATCAGTTGAGGTTGTTGAGTGATAAATACCATAAGATGTGAAAAAAGTCCTTTTAGGGGCTTTATAATGACATAGCTTCTATCTGGATAATTCAAACTGTTGATACATTGGTTCTTCAGTAAGTGCTGACATTGTGTTACTCAATGCCAAAATGTAACTGAAGTTCTATGGATAATGTCAACAAAAAAATCCCTCTGCAACTGTAATTTTAAGTAATTTAAAATGTAAAAACTTCATAATTGCCCGCATGGGCTGCTTTTACTAAGCCTGTATTCCTTTCAAGATGACAAAACATTATTAAACTGTATTCCTGTACATAAAATACTGAAATACACTTTTAGATAGAATTACAGGATTTAATACTTGCTGTGCTTTCATGTGACTTTTATTGGATTGTGCAGGATGGAGAGCAGAGGAGCTCTGAAATGAAGGCCAGACAAGTTGCATCTGCACACCTTTAAGGCAGATGCCGTGAACACAGAACAATATTACGATGGATTCCAGGGCATGAAATACTAGAAAGCATTTAGAAAATATAATTACAAAGCCGCGGAGCCTTTTCACTGAATTTTACAGAACGGAGAGCTAAGAGGGGCTGCTGTCTCAACATCACACACACGTTTAATCATGGTGTTGATGATGTATTAGTTTATGACACCACCACTATCAAACATGCCTTCATTATCTGACTGCTCATCCTGTATTTTATATTCTTCATTCATAAGAATGGGCCATGTCAATCAATACCTACAGCAAGCACAAATAAGCTAATAGTTATACATCTTATAGAAGAAGGCACAAGGTACCTTAGTGCATTTTTGTAGGGAAGTAAGTGACTCATTAACTGCACTGTACATGAATGCAATTAGGTCAATAACAATATGTAGCTCATTTTCTGCTGACAAGTGAAATTTAGTACAATATAGTTGATATTATGTAATGGTTTGTATTATAATTAAAGCTGCTATGATAAATATTTCTATATTAACAATGGATTAAATTACTACCTGTATATAAAAGGGGTCACTCATAATTACTCACAGAATTTTAATCTGACAGAACTTCCCGTCAGCTCTACAGGGTGTTTTAGCATTTTTCAGTGTATTATTTTGATTCTATGGCACAAAACTTTGTTATTTTCATTCAGTCTCACAGCTCTCATCAGTGTGATTTCCAGATAAAGCAGGCCAACGTTTTCTGTGAGGAAGTTCTGATAAACCCACTATACGCTATCTGCTCAGCACCAAACAGATCGACAAGTTGGCGACTAGCTTGTATCAGAGAATTTTAGCAGCCATATTTTTCTCGGGAGTTGGTGGAGACAGGACTAGTGAGTGAAAATTGGACTAAATGGATAAATAGATAAATGACATACGGATAAATGATGGCATGGATTATATAGTCTAAATTCCAATCTGAAAACAAAAACTACAGTACTTTATTGACCATAGGATCCTGGTGCTAACCCTTACATTTGAATATACAAAGTAATGCATGCATTTCCTTGATAATATATAAAATAATTGAAACACAGTATAGTAATAGTGAGTGTAACTGTTTTTCTTTTTAAATATCCAACGTGCTGAAGTATAGAGCCAGAACAACAAAAAATATGTGTCACAGCCCTACTACTCCCAGACTGTACTGTATGACTAGAATCATGTCTCAAGTGAGAGAACGAAAAGCCACAGCAGCTCTAAAGACAAGCGGTGAATCATCTTAAATGTAGCTAAGTCTGTCAGCTGTGTGTGTGTGTGGTGGTAAAAATAACACAGAATACTATCTAAAAATAACAGACTGTTTTGAACTAAGAGAGACCTGTTTCTCTGTTTGAATATGGTTGGTAATATCAGACTGTAAACGGCAAAAACAACATCCCCGCAAAGGTCGGGATAATAAATACTTAATCAGTTGACATTGAAGATGAAGCTAATAATATGTGATTCTAAAAAGGTATGAATACTTTAGGCCATTGTTGGAACAGTGGAAAGATAACAAAGAGGGTTTGAGTTTTGTTTCAATTCAATTTGAAGTGTATTTCACAATTATATGCGACATCTAGTGACAAGGGAATTTCGTGCATATAACCTATAATGTTGGATAAGAAATTCAACAGAAACAGATAGTGACACTGACCGGAGGCAGCCTGTGGCGTTGCGGAGGACCTGGGAGGAGTGTAGGTGCAGCTTGCGGTCCTCCTGCGTATGTGGGGAGGTGTCCCAGCCCGAGTGGGGGATGATCACAGCGTTGGTCAGCACAGCCAGGGCGTCCTGGATGATGGGCATCTTTAGGGCGTCGCATGACGACAGGTTCCACAAAACACCTGAAGAGGACAGCAGGTTTTAGTAAGCAGCTTGATCAAACACACACAGCACAGACATTATTGTCTGTAGTCTTTACTTATTTCCTACAGCAGTATGGAAAGTCAGACACATGCATTTAAAACTAGTATGGCCCTTTTTCATAGATGGCATTTTGACATGTCACAGTAGGGGAAAAAACTGCTGTGAAAAAAATAATTAATGAGGGTTGAATTCCATTTATCTACTTCAGTTTCAGGGACTTGGTATTGCACTTGCTGGCTCACTGTCCCACTGTCATTGCTTACTGGGAAAGTTGAATAGCATGCAGCTATCGTTAATGTTATTAGTAATATCGAGACTGGATTATCAACTGGGCAAATCGTGGAACCACCCCAGGACCCCAGACAGTGGTGGGATATGTGGGCAATATGACATAACATATCCAAACATATCCAAACATCAGTTTAGATGTACTTTTTCATATTTTAGCTAACTCAGCTACAGCAGGAAACGTTTTCTATAAAATAATGAACCCATTGTGTGCCACCTGTCCACCACCAAACATCTGACAGACAAAGTTAGCAACTAGCTGGTGTACTAGTTTTGAAACTTTCCGAGTTTTTCGGACCAAAAAATAGTAATTGTCATATTCTAATTTGGTGGAAAAGGGGCCATTGTGGAACATTTAGCGGCTAAAGAACCAGAACCAGAGCTAAACAGAGAGTCAATATTAGACTTACAATCACCATTTCCAAATAAGTGCTAATGTTACTCTGGGGCTGCTGGATGTGTAAATAGGAAACTGTTTGCTACTGCTTGGTTCAGACTACACAATATCTCTCTATGTCTGTTTAAGATGGTCACACATTGGTCCCTGACCAATCATAGCTTGCCGTTTTTTACACTCAGGTAAATCAGGTAATCAGGAAGGAGGTACTAGGAGCCAACATCCACGAAAAAGAGTATCAACAACAGTGCCCAAACAACAGTGTATGATACTGGCTGTCTTGTGTTCAGAAAGAAAAAACAAACTGTCCTCTGTTTCCCAGTTCCACCTAGCAGCACCAACAATATTCTCCTTTCGCTTTATTATGTTTACAGTTGAAGAGGGACCCTGTGCTCCTATTGGTTACAGAACATATTGTGGAATTTGTTGTTGAAGGCAAAAAGCTTCTGTCTTTCTGTTGATTCGGTGTCGGTTGTTGTCCACTATAATGAACTACACAAGATAAAAGCAATCAACGATGTCCCTTTTTGTACCCGATGCCCTATTATTATCGGGTCAGCCTACTATCGGATGATATTGTTTAGCCTGAACCCGGCATAATTACCTGTTTAACCTGATCATGTCAAGGGATACAATTCTAACATTTTAGATAAGATCTTTTTCTGTACAGTGTCCTTCTTAAACTATTTCCAGGAACTTTAATATTAATGGTATAGTCTTAACTCAGCAAATGTAGGGAAAATGCTGATCTCTTGAATTAGAAATCAATGGCAGTTTTGGCAGTGTCTAAAATGCTTGTATGTTGTGATCATGTTGATGCCGTGCTGTTGACTGTGTGCTACTGGACAAACACACTGTATCTTGTTCTTTCTCTCTGCTCTCCTTCTTCCATACAGGCTTACAGATATTCAAAGGCAGCCTGCTTGGTCAGGTGCCACACGGTGGAGGATTTCCTTGGTAAACAGGGTAAACAGGAACCCTCAACACTGTGTCTATGTATTTTTTTCTTACAAATGACAGCTTGTTTTTGGTTTGGTTTTTTAAAGTTCATTCACTTGTTTCTCAGCCTCTCTATGAAAGCTCTCGAGTCTGTCGTTTTTTTAGGGATCAGCTTTTCCACCAGGTCTTTGTAGCGTTCTGCCTTTTGTCTTATTTTATTTAACCGCTGTTTTGTCTGATCGTGTTCCATGTCCTTGTTTTTTAACTGCTGGCTCTGTTCCTCTAAACACAGCTTACTTGTTGTCCTGGGGCTTGGGTTAATCTGGCCCTGAGGAACACCTGTTTCACAGTTTACTGGTTTACTATTATTACAGATATTACAGATTATACCAGTTTAGAACAAATAACTGATCATGTAAATCGTTCTTTGGTGATTTTGAACGATTGCATGTGTACACTGGCACTGTCATGACGATAAAATAATTAGAAGATGTACACAGGTATACACAAACCCCAATTAGCGTCCTGCATCCTTAATTACACAGAGTAATGCATTTCAAATGTTGTTGTAATATTTCAAAACATAACCTCTAATTTATTGCTCCAGGTCGTCATATGCTGTTGTAATTAATAGAGGATGTAAAAAAGAGAAGTACTGAGGGCAGTAAATCACTTACACAAAATTCCACTGCACCTCTCTCCTGTTCTTAATCCTCACCTGAATTCAACATACAGTGACCAGCCAACCAAGAAAATGGAGTGAGTTTTCTCCTGCCTACCAATTACTGTTCACTCTTTCTGCCAGTTACCACACACACACACACACACTGGCAATTGAATAGACAAAAGCTCTCCCTCTCCAGAGGCTCACTCTCCCACACGCACACATACACACTTGCATCTGTTTGAGCCTTTCAAGAAAAGGACAGAGAGGGCAAGAGGCAAATCATCACATTTTGCTGCAAAACACTCTGATTTCTTGAGTGGTTTTACACACACACACACACACACACACAAATGGTGATAACCTTGAGGGATCTACACAACACATCATAATTCTTATTGACCTTCGTCTTGCAAAATGTCCATGTCCTAATCTATGTACTCATATAATTGTATGTTTGTGCATTTGAAAGTGTCCACCCCTCATCATATCTGCACTTATCTACCCCTCTCCTTTATGGCTGTAATTATAGCTGTGGTAGTGGTAAAACATCCTATCCTTAGATCTGTGTGTGTTTAGAATAAGGCGTCCTCTCTTTACTGCGTGTTGTTCACCCTCGGCAGAACAGCGACTGTGTAATTACAGCTTCTGTTATCTGTCTTTGTGGGTTTGTATAAATTTGTGTGTATGTGCGAGTGTGTATGTGTGTGTGTTTATGTGTTTTTGCGCAACTGCATGTAAGCCCCCTCGACAAATCAGTCTTAGCTCCGTCAGCCGCTTGGACTCGGTGTATTTATGTGGGGTGTTAAGGTGGCAGTGTCTGTGTGCGGTCAGAGGAGTTTCTAAATGGCCGGCTTCTGGCTTGGTGACGGTAATTAGCTGGGACTGTCACGTTAGCAAAAGTGTCTTCACTCTGTCTCATCTTATCTGCTGCTCGAGAGGGCAAAGGAGGCATGCTGGGTTGGTGATAACCTTGACATCAGATGCGACACCTAATAATTCGAGCTGACCTTGATTTCCACATCTGTGAGTCAGCGAAAGTTGCTGTGTGAAAATTTCTTTGTCAAGAAAGACGTCTCCAACTATTTTCCCCCCATGGTATTACAAAAATACTGCGTGTAATGTGAACTAACTTTAAGGAAACTACTGTGAGCTTGTTTGCTGTCTTATCTGCAGTTAGAGGAGAAGGTCTGTCTGTGTTCAACGTTAGTGTAAATGCAAATTTAGCCAAAATGAATGGAAGCAGGGGGAACATAAAAAATACACCTCCATTTACACACTCTCTCTCTCTCTCTCTGGTCAACTGGTCTAGGCAGATGACCACCCACCTACAGCCAAA